CTATTCTTACAAACAATAACAACACCCTTCATGAGAGCCGTATCAGCACTTCCATTCGATCGCCAGAGCTACGGAAGTACGGTCGGATTGAGATGTTACTTGACGGTGAGGCTACAACGACATCAAAAAAATGGCGGTTTTGAGTTTATCGATCGACATCGACCTTATCGTTGCTGGGTTGCACAGCACAGGCATTGTGGAGCCGTGGGAAGTAAAAGTAAAAGTAAAAGTAAAAGGGGTCTGTGACAATACGCTCGTGATATGCTGCGGCGAGCGACGTCGCTACCGTCAGAGTAGTTGCTTTGGGTGGCCGTTTGGATTGACTGTTGAAAAGGAACGGGAGATATTAACACCGCCCATCATGGAGTTTTGTGTCCACTTGAATTCGTATGGGTTTAGCGCTCCAATCAGTGAACTGGTCCAATCACATCGATGGTTTGTCGCACGGCACGCCGCGCGCGACACGCAACAAATTATCATTTTCCGTCTCCCGCGAAAAAGGCATGACGAACTGTTTGCGCTGGTCTGCGGTCCAACGCGCTGGTGGGGGCATACCACGTTTTGTGGCACTTCAATGATCTGAGAAGGGAAGGGTGTTGAGCGTTACTTAACAGTTGCGGTATCGTAGTACTAGGTTGTCTTGGAGGATGGAGCCGACCTGCAAGGACGCTGCCATCAACGTGGCAGTGGCACTGCGCATCGACTCCTACCTCCACCGTCAATTCATACTGTGATGTTGCGACTGGAAAGTAACGCTCCACACTGAAGGGAAGGAGCTGCTGGATGGATAAACCGCTTTCTACGAAAAAGCTAAAATCTCTTTAAATGGTACCGAAGCCATTTTTCTCATGCAGGACCCAGGGGGTAGATCATGACATGCGAAACGCACTACCCCTTGCAAACTATCACAGTGCTTTCTAGCTGGACGACGTGACGTGCTACAGCATTGTCACGTTGAGTATGTTCCTAGTGCTGGTAACACCTCTTGTAACGTCTCTTTCACTGCTCTAAACGCGGCTCCGATGTGCTGTATTACACCCAGTTCCCTCTCCTCCAGGCTTGACAACAATCCTCATCATCAATCCATCAAAAAGAATTAAAGAATGGGTGAATAACGGATATGGTCAATCGAGTTTCCCTCGTCGTTGACACGTCATGAAACGGCTTGCGACGTCCTGGTGTGTCCTAACCTGTCACATTAACCCCTCACGTATTGGACTAGGAAAGATGGTAGGGGGGGGGGGTGGCGCCGCTGCACGTATTATGCCACGTCATGTCTGATTGTCCGTTTAATCGAAGGGGGCGCATGCCACGGGTTTGAAAAGACGTGGCAACACAAAACATGATGTGGCATAGGCTGCCTAACTACCGTAGTTGGAGGGGCTGATTAAGCCGCGGCAAGACATTTGCGTTCTACTAATGCTGTGCCCGGGGGAGGAAAGGGATAAAGATCTTGTTGAAAGGAAAAGTGCGGACGGTGGAAGTCGTCGCGGTCTGCAGCCCTTCCCCATCAGCGCTAGGGCAGTCGCGCCGCCACTTGGCAAATGAAAACAAAGAAAAACAAGTGACTGGGAAAATAAAAAACTGCAGGAACCGTTTCACCTCTTTCTGAGAGTGACCATTGTTAATTCGTCAACTCCGAACACCGACTGTCTTTGGATTAGCGCCGGACTGGGAACTACAGGGTTACTCGAGTACGTATAATCATCAGCTGTTAGTGACCATAAGTCTTAGCATTAACGTAGAAATGTGGGGATCGTCAAAAGGATGAGAGCATTGCATTAAATATTCAGCTTTAGGTGGAAGGCAAAGGCAACGGCATCAAGACTGTTGTAGCGAATATGTCTGACATTGCTAAATCACTTGAACGCCCTCCTATGTGTGAGTGTAATGACGCTTTTCTTTCTCAATGCCTTCTCGCCACAAAATCTTACAAATAAGTGCCTTTTAAGATCCAACAAAGTACTTTGGCTGCGAGCTGGGCGCTCAAACAAATTATGACGCGAGAAACGAGCGTTACATCGTCAATGGTGAACACGACGCAGCGAAGCTGCAAGATATCCTGGATGGCTTTATCAGGAAATTCGTACTCTGTCCAGCATGTGAAAATCCGGAAACTGCTCTGGTAATTTTTTTCGGTTTCAGTTCTTCACGTAAAAATATGTATGAGATGAGGTTGTTATCTTTCTGATCACATTAATAACCCATTGTTTAGTCAGTGCGGCGCAACCAGATTCATAGCAAGTGCAAAGCATGTGGTCATGCGTTTATTATCGACAGTCGTCACAGATTATCAACGTACATTCTGAAGAACCCGCCGAAAGTTGAAGTGGACTTCTGTAAGTTTGTCATTTCTGTTCTTTAATATGAGCTCCAAACATAGTACGAACAGTTCTAAGAGCTCAAGTATAGTGAAAATTACATGACTCTGCGCGCGGTCGCCCATAGAACCGGAATACAACGCTTGAGCCTGCAGTTTCGGTATGGTGCGCAGTTTAGTCGCAAGGGCGAAAGGGGCCAACAGACACGGTTACAGGACCCATGTGTACCGACCAGCAGTTGAAGGGAGAGTGGGAAGGAAGAGGGAAGTGAGGAGGAAGGAAGGAAAAGAAGGGAGAAAAAATAGGAAGAAGGAGGGGCGCTTCGAGGTTGGGAAGGGTCCCGAGACAAACACTCCATTCAGAAAACGAAATGCGACGGAATTTCGCTATTAAAGACTGCCTACTGACTAGTTAAGTCCTATCAGCTCTCAATGGATAACCGGGGAACGGATTGCTGCCCGAATTGGTTGTCCACACAGCCGCGAGCGCACTCAGAACATTGGAGCAGCCTCAACACCCAGGAATAGTTGGTCAGAATGTGCGGGAATCCCACGTCTTGATGCTGCCGTGCTCGTTCTTTGAACCTGCATTCGCAAGACAGGTTCAAGCAACGAGGAACGGCAGCATCCAGTCATGAGATCTAGCCCATGTTGACCGACTAGCCCGAGCGTGGAGCCTGCTCCAGTGATCTAAGTAGAACCATCGAGTATCGATTAGCAGCCTCTTGACTGTGCCCGTGTGGATTAGATATCACATAGAAAGCCCGGCCCTCTTATGTAGTTTGGTTGACCTAAGATCCCTCTTTACAGCCAAAGACAAGCAGCAGAATGGTAATGGACATGTGAAAGAAGACGAGATCGGTGTGGATTCAAATGGAGATAAGGTGTGTGGGCTGAGTCGTTGCTCATGAGTTGACGGCAGTACTCATAGTTAAGCTATGTTTGCTTCAGAACAGCTCGAATGATGATGACGACGATGACTGGGCACCGGATGAGGAAGAAGTACCGAACACGAAATTAGCCGCTGGTATAGGAAAGCTTGTAATCGACAAGGATCTGGACAAGAGTATTGAAGAACGACTGGATATGTTGCATCGTTTCTTCGTTGAGGCAAAAGAGAAAGGAACAATTGGCGATGGAAAGGTCAGTTTTCCTCAGTAAAATAAAATGTACTTGAAGAGTCAGAACTTCAATTTGAACAATTTAGGCGTTGGCCGATGAAGCTGAGCGTCTGGAATTAAAGCAGAAAGCTCCGCTTCTTCTTGCCGATGTGCTCCTCGATCAGGACATCATTAAGGATGGATTGGCGCAGCTAAAGAATAATAGAAGGGTGTTACTGAGATTTACATTGGGGGACAGAAAGGTAATTTGAAGCAGAAACAGTTTTGCGTTCAGGCGCAATAGTAGTAGGGGGTCGCAATCGTCCTTATGCAGTCAATTTTTGTTAGGCTATGAGATCCGAGTATAAGGCCCCGAGGCAAATGAGAAGAAACGGAGTGACTTTCCTAATTCAACGTGTCGTACAACAAGAGAAACAAAGGCCTTGAGACTTGAGTTCTGGCCGATCATACGACAAACCCACCACCAGACGATTCTTTTGGTCCGACGGATATATGTGTAGACGATTGCTACCTCATACTACTACTGAACCCGCGCCTCTCCAAAAATGTGTTCCATTTCAGGCGCAGCGTTACCTTTTGGGTGGAATTGAGCAACTAATCATCAAGCATGAGGCAGTTCTACTGCCGAAAGCCGCGCACATAATTAAAGGACTCTACGACAACGACATTTGCGAAGAGGAGGCAATACTTGCGTGGGGTGAAAAGGTAGGATTTACTGGTTTCAGGTTGAGCAAATATATACAGCCCATATCTGAGGGTAGCAAGAGCGTTTCTTGCGAGTTCAAACTAAAGAGAGGAAAATTGGTACACGAATGCGCAATCGCCGCCGGAACGCCTCTTTCCGACCTCCGATATGGACCCTGTGCATGTTTGAAGACATATCTCTGTTCAGCGCAAGTTCGCTGAGCGAGAGGCTTTAAACGACTCCATGTGCACAAACGGCATACGGCGATGAGGATTTTTGCCCAAACCTGGGAGGAAAGTCCCGGGTGACTGTTTTTTTTTCGTGCGGAAGAGGGTTTCGTTTCGAGGTGATTCCGGTGTTGCACAAAGAGTTTCCCGATGCCCCTACCCTTTTTGAGTCCTACTACTGTCTTCTGACCGTCTCGAAAGGTTATGTGGATTATTTAGCCGTCCTCGAAGTATGTTTCGAAGACACAATCGAAGAAAATTATCCAGAAATGTGAAGCTGTCCTCACTTGGCTTAGAGAAGCAGAAGAGGAAGATGATGATGACGAGTCCGATGATGAGATCGACGTATGTTTATTTTACAGTAGCCCACTCCTCGCGAGACATTAATTCATTTTTTGCAGTTTGACGATCGTAATCAGAAGACGAGTGTCTATGCAGAGAAAGCCAAGGCTGAAGCAGCGAAGGAAATCAAAGTGGAAGGTGAAGATGGTACGGAAATCGATATCGATGATATTTAAGGATCATCATCGCCGTTCTACTAAACCTCATTGCGTTGTTGTAGTGGCTTTTTGTGTACGCATGATGGTTTTGACTTCTTTACTGATTGTACTCTACCGCTAACTTTCTCATCACAACTGACTTTCTTCGTTTCATCTTCAGACATCTTGTCATATGTATTTGTTACTGATTACTATTGAAGTATGTGTACAACCTGTTGGTTATTTGAAGCCCTATCCCGTTGAGTTGATTGAATCCCATAAGTAATAGGTAATCGCAGCGTTTCCCCACGTGTTGTGATGCTAATGGATCCTTAATGAATGTTTCCGCTCGGATGGCTTTCAGCAGAGTTATCGATTATCGATAGTTTACATGTCAGAAGTAGAGAAACTGCTACAGAAGCCGAACACGTCGGGAGATTTCGAAAAAGGGCAACAAATAATTGGAAAAAAGAAAACACGGCGCTATTTGGCGACGGAGGGGGGGGGCATTTTGCACTTTAACGACTTCCCATCGACGTGTCGACCCATCTAGACAGCCTCTTCTCGAGTTGACAGGTTTTACCATGATGGCTTGACGAGCTTGCTCCAGCTTCACAAGAGTGAGACTTGTAAACCAGAACTAGTGAAGCAACGAATGTGCAAAATGCCCCCCTCCCCCTCGTCGGCAAATGCGTCAGAAAACACTAAAAGGCTCATGGTCGGTTTCACTCTTCAAAGAAAACACCGTTATTTCATCAATCCTGGGGCTCATCAGTGAGATAGGGTTGACGAAACAGGTACGATGTTGAAGGAGAAAAAGAAAAAAAAGGAGTCGTAAAGTAGGCGCTCATGCAAATTTCATGCAATAAAAAAGGATTGAAAGGATTGGGCAGGAAACTACAGGGGTAGTATGCGATGTTCACCAAGCACGAGTAATAAAGGATGGGGAGGGAAGTCTGCTTCGATTCACTTCTCGTGGCATTCTGTCGTCAACAAAAGGCATTGCGGGGATCGCTTCGTTTGACCTATTGGAACGCATGTTTCAAAATCTCTTCCGAAATATGCGTTGCTTTCAAGGAGAGTTTTGATCTCAGCGTCTACGGTTGAATCCATTCGGTTGTGAGGAGTTCTCAACATCACATTCGACTGGTTCTTCTCCCCCTCCGCCTGCACTTAAAGGCAAGTGGCAGATGAATCTAGTAGGCGTGTAGGATAAGTAGCCTAGCAGGACAAGATTGGGTGCCCCTGAGCGGGCGGCTGCAAGGCGCCCTTTCAACGGTGTTGCAGCTTGATAGGGCGTACCCTCATAACGCCCTATCAAGCTGCAACATGCCGATCACCCTCACCCCCGGCCGACAACTGTCCAGTCCCATCGACGCTGGTGCTTTTATGGCTTCATTTATGAAGTACAATAGATATGAAGCGTTGCTACATGGATGTATAAATACATACGTGCTCCTGTATCTATCAAAGCAGTTGTTGCGATACCTATGGGAAACTTGTCCAAAGATGCTCGTCGAACGCCGTGCAGAACAAAGGGTTTTTTCGCAGGTTTTTGGCCGTCTAACATTCGCTTTTTTCGTCACTTTCCCCACTATATGGGATCCCTGGTACTATTTTTGAGCAAGTACCAAATTGTGGTACCTTGTGCTTTTAATGACCTACTTATACTTCATATCCCGATGATGGATAGGGCGTGGCTGCGTGCTTCATTTGGACGTGACCTAGGGAAAGGTTCTTCGTCTGATATTTCCATTTGACACAAATGCGATTCTGTTATGTGCAGAACAAGATCATTACTACAATTGTTCCCAAATGGCAAGATCCCACGTTAAGCACAGCTGCCACCTCTTTCAGCTGCAATATGCGACAAGG